TGCAGAGAAGCGACTTGATTCTTAAGACTTGAAATTGAATAGACCTAGAGAAGAAGCTTGACTCTACTGAGTTGCAGAGAAGCGACTTGACTATTAAGACTTGAAATTGAATAGACCTAGAGAAGAAGCTTGACTCTACTGAGCTGCAGAGTGCGACTTGACTCTTAAGTATTCCTGGAGATGATGATACATATATAGAAGCTACTGACATAGTAAATGAATAATATTTCAATTAATTAAGTATTGGGGGTAAAATTCCCCTGGAATTAAAAGCCAAAATTGAACGAAATAAGTAATACAAATGAATATGGATTACTAATGAGTGAGAGCCCCAAGTAAACCTATGTAATATGTGCATCCGTGTAATACATCATTTTCTTTTTACACATGGAATGTTAACACCCCAAGAAACAATTTTGTTGTGCAACTGTCATTATATCTTTAGATATTCTAGGATTCACAGAACATTATTTACAATCAGATTCTAGTTATAATAACACAGAAAACACCCACTGACATAATTCAATATTTTCCATTTTTTTTTATTATTATTTTTTTAACAATTTGTTGATTTATATCCTCATTTTGGCTCAGTGATATGAGTTTTGACACCAAGCCAAGAAATTATGCTGTTTTGGCAAAGTTTTCATAACAATAGTTTAGTGAACGCAGTTGATGGTGTGTAAACTAGCACACACTGTAAATCTCCCTAGTTGTTGAGAACTGTCCCTGCCTCCATCAATATTTACTGTATTAGTCTGCATGCTGATGGAACTATTTTATGGGAAATCTTGTCTTTATTCCACACGCGTACCAGTTTTACAGAAATGGAATAAGTTCTTTAGAATGACCTGTTTATATATAGCTGTGTTTATCGTCCCAAAGATGTTTGCATGCATGTGCCTTGAAGAGAGATTTTCTTAATGAAAATTATCCTCCACTACACACTTTTGTAAAGCTCTAATAATTCAATAACATCTTTATTAATCAAATTTCAATTATTTTATTTCAGTTTGTGTAAAAACATGGATGTAATATGTATGTATTATCAGAGAGTGGTCTTTTTGAATCTTACGATTTGCATTTTTTTTTTTTTTTTTTTTTGTGATTACCAGGTATAATAAAGTGTCACTAAATGTAATATTCATCATTAAGACATTGAAATGGATGTATAAGGAGTCCATGGAACCTGTTTTAGACAGCATTATCTCCAGAAATCTTAACCTGTGAAGCTTAATTGGTTTCCAAGAGGCTTTTCTTTGGACAAGTTTTGAATCATGGTCTCCAGGAAGCTTGATTCTTGTAGAGTGGTTTCCTAGAGGCTTTTTCTTAACCGGGAGTTTAAGTGTTATCTTTTTTGTTTCTATGAAGTTTATTTCTGGTTGCATTGTTCTCAAGAAAGTGGTTTTTTTCAAAGTCTCCAAGAAGCTTGTCTCTGATAGCATTTGCCTCCAAGAATTTTGTCTCGTGTACGTGTAGCTTTAATCAACCTAATTGGTAATTAGATTATGTCTAAACATTCTGACTCTATAACTAGTGAGAAAGAAGTAAAGTTTTGTAGACAATTAACATCTACAGTAGGTGTGAAGCTGTTACATGTCAGATCGCAGCCTGTCAGATAGTAGCAAAGATGCAGACCTAAAGATGCAGACCTAAAGATGTTTTATAAAATTTGTCCGGGCACAGTGGCCATATCCACGACCAACAGGACGCACCGAGCCAGAAGAATTCCTAGAAATTCCCAGCAGGTCCAATACCAACAGCAATACTTGAAAACACTAACTAGACGACAATCCTTTTTTCTTCGTACCATACTAGACTGGAACAAATTACCATCTGACTTCGTTAATGCACCCACTTTCATCTCTTTCAAAGCATCTCTTTCCAGGCACACCTATAAAATTGAAGATGCAGGGTATTTATTTACTTCAACAGACTTTACATAATAATTTACCAATTCTCTTCTTTTCCCCCTTTTCTGAACAAGCTTTGTAGCTGGGGGTTGCCCAATCACTGGCTTGCTCGGACCTCTCTCGGAATCTCCTCGAATTAAATTTTCTTTCTCTTAACTTTAAGTCAGTGGATAATAATAAGTTATTATGTAATATATATTGTCTATCGTTTGTGCTGCATAAACTCAATTTCGTGACAAAATCTTCAATTAGTTAAAGGTGGTCACTAGAACAGACCGTAGTTTAAATGCAGGTCCCTAAGACATTCTTGGTTGTAGCTGAAGAATAAAGTCTCAGATAAAATATGAATAATTGAAACAAGGACATAAAAAGGAGCAAAGGAAATGCATAAAGCACCGGTAATGAATTTCATATTTGGTATGGAAAATGTTGTTGGTTATCTCACCATCTCTCCTTCAGCTCTAGCCAATTATAGGCAATATACGCTAATACGGGAGGGTGGCACATAATAGAATTGACTTCTGTTTCTATGAAGATCATAAATAATAATTGCTTTAGGCAATCATTTTACCTTAACTTGTAGTGCATTAGGTGTACAATGTACCAATAAGTAAATTGTATTATTACCGTTATCACTATTCTGATGCAAAATATTTGTCATTTTCAAAAGAAGTATATCATGAAAATCACATGTTGCAATGCATTTTAAAGAATAACAGTTGCTTAAATTTTAATATTAAAAAATAGAAAAAAAAGGAAAACTGCAGGATATCAAACTCCGTATTTTTTTGTATTGCAAAGCCTACACTTCATCAGTGTTAAATTGCCACCGAGGAATTGTAAATACACATATAGCACCAAAATGAGTGTCTAATTTATGGGCTGCAGAGCCTGTGAAAAACAAAATCAACATTGAAAGTTACATAATATAACTGGGCAGGGGAAGTAACTCTAAGCCAGAAAAACTCCCTTCGGTTAATTGCTTCATTTTCTATAGAGAAGGGAGATTACTCCAAGTCAAAACAAATTCTGATTGGAACTCTTCTTTATGATAACAACTTATGCAGTGGTACTGTTTACTAGTTTGATCCTTTGATGTACATCAAGTGACTAAACTTCAAAGGACAAGTATCAGCCTGCAATTGGTCAAGGTTTTTTTACCCGAGTTCACTTAAATATCTTGCCATGTGCCTTTAAATTTGCTATGGCAAATTCCAAAGGTGAAGAGAGTGTAAGTGAGTGTAACCTAGCTATGGGCCTGTGTTCATGAACTTGTTCTCATGCTCAAATTGTGTGCTCAAGTCAAATTTCTTGTTCCCATGATCAATTAATCAAAAATCACATTTTGTTAAAGATTATTTTGGAAGAATGTTGGAGAGACTAAGGACAAATACTTTTTCTATTGTTTACAATTGAAGTTCCACTGTGTAACATGGTTTAAGCAAGTTACAAGGAAGTCGTCTTGATCATAAAATCCATGCTTGAGCATGAGTACGGGGCCTGGAGTATCAAGGATGAGTCTTGATACAAAGAGTTTTGTAATATTGTAATCCAATGATACTGGTACAGTAATGTCAGACTTGTGTTCAGTTGGTCTGCCTATTGGCTGGAAAATAAGTTATATCAAACACAGACCAGAAGGTGGGTGGTAGATGTATCTTCAGTAACTGTTCTAACCACTTGAAACGTGTTTATACCTTGTGATGTATACACACTAGTTCCTAAGTTCAAACCAATCCAGTTGACATCCCACAGCCTAACTCTGGTCTTTGTTCAGTAACAACTTATTAACACCTCAACTTCTTTCTATTAGTACAAGCAGGCCGTAGGGACAGTTCATCCCCATTGATCATAAATTAGGCCAGCTTTGAAACAGTTTAACTCATTCACCCCTGAAATTTCATAATGAACTATTCCAATTTTTGAATTGGAAGAGTTCAAATGTGTCTTTAGGAGTGAATGAGTTAACTCTTTCACCCCCAGATAGCTTGATGAGACAAGTACCTTCATCTGGATGAGTCTATTTTGGTCGACAGTGGTGAATGTCCGGTTAAAGAAAAATTAACTAACTTGTTACATACAGTATTTATACTGTGATAAGCCCAGTGGGCCAACAGATTATCTCTGTAGGGGTATTTGGGCTTATAACAGGGTATTGAAATAACATTTGTTGGAATTTGTACTAAAATGTATTAGATATGAGTGGGCTTTTTACCAGGCACAGGCTAATTGATGGATGAAGAGAGTATATCAACGATGACACTTTGTTTTCTTCATGTTTTTCAGACTGATAAAACTTTTACTAATTTCAGTTTTTTGGTAATTTTGTTTTTGTCACAACTTGTGTTTAGAGTGATATCATTAAGGAATGGGCTATACAGAGACTTACTGAAATTAAATGTCCTGGTCTGTACTCACTTGTAACCTTATGTTTGACTCTACCAATACCTGTTTGTTTTCTTATGGCCTTGTTTAAACCTCTGTTCATACCCTACTCAGGCCCTCAGTTGGCCACACAGTAACCTTATGATGAACTTGTACTAAATACAATGACCTTGTACAGACTTAGATCTTCGTTTGACCTTGTTCTGACCTTTCAGTGAACTAGAAATGAACTAGGCTAATCTAAGGAACCTGATCTGACTTTATTCTAACATTGTTCTGACATTGTTCTGACCTATGAATGATTGTTAATAACCCAATCAAGTTATACGGTCCTGAATCAAGTTGTCCCTAACCTTGTTTTGACCTTGACATGATCTTGGTTGTTGTAGGATCATAAGTGGAAGATGTACATGGAGATGGATGAGGAGGATGAAGAAGCGGATGATGATGTGAACCCAGTGACCTTCATAAAAAATGTCAGCTTCTCTTGTTCCTCTAACCATGGTGTCTTCAAAATAGATCATGTAAGTCTATATCATACCGTATACATTGTAAGTACAGAATACCATGTAAATAGCTATCACAGCACACCATGTAAATATATCTATTAAAGCACACCATGTAAATATCTATCACAACACACCATGTTAATATCTCTATCACAACACACCATGTAAAATATCTCTATCACAACACACCATGTTAATATCTCTATCACAACACAGCTTGTAAAATATCTCTTATCACAGAACACCATGTAAAATATCTCTATCACAAACCCCAATGTTAATATCTCTATCACAACACACCATGTAAATATCTCTATCACAACACACCATGTAAAATATCTCTACCATAGAACACCATGTAAATATCTCTATCACAACACACTATGAAAATATTTCTATCACAACACACCATTTAAATATCTCTTATCACAACACACCATGTAAAATATCTCTATCACAGAACACCATGTAAAATATCTCATATCACAACACACCATGTAAAATATCTCTATCACAGAACACCATGTAAATATTTCTATCACAACACACCATTTAAAATATCTCTATCACAACACACCATGTAAAGTATCTCTATCACAGAACACCATATAAAATATCTCTATCACAGAACACCATGTAAAATATCCATCACAGCACACCATGTAAATATCCATCACAGCACACCATGTAAATGTCCATCACAGCATGCCATGTTAATATCCATCACAGCACACCATGTAAATATCTATCTATCACAGCACACCATGTTAATATCTATCACAGCACACCATGTAAATATCGATCACAGCACACCATGTAAATATCTATCACAACACACCATGTAAAGATCTCTATCAGAGCACACCATGTAAATATCTCTATCACAGCACACCATGTACATATCTATCACAGCACACCATGTAAATATCCAACACAGCACACCATGTAAATATCCATCACACCCCACCATGTAAATATCTAAATCACAATTAACACACCATCTTAAATATCTCTACCAAAGAACACCATGTAAATATTTCTATTACAACACCCCATGTAAAATATCTCTATCACAGAACCCCATGTAAATATTTCTATCAAAATACATCATGTAAAATATCTCTATCACAGAACACCATGTATGTAAATATCCATCACACCACACCATGTAAATATCTCTATCACAATTAACACACCATCTTAAATATCTCTACCACAGAACCCCATGTAAATATTTCTATTACAACACACCATGTAAAATATCTCTATCACAGAACACCATGTAAAATATCTCATATCACAACACACCATGTAAAATATCTCTATCACAGAACACTATGTAAATATTTCTATCACAACACACCATTTAAAATATCTCTATCACAACACACCATGTAAAGTATCTCTATCACAGAACACCATATAAAATATTATCACAAACCCCAATGTTAATATCTCTATCACAACACACCATGTAAATATCTCTATCACAACACACTATGAAAGTATTTCTATCACAACACACCATTTAAATATCTCTTATGACAACACACCATGTAAAATATCTCTATCACAACACACCATGTAAAGTATCTCTATCACAGAACACCATATAAAATATCTCTATCTATCACAGCACACCATGTAAAAATAATTTATACAAACCTACATGTAAATATCCATCACAACACACCATGTAAATATCCATCACAGCACACCATGTAAAGTATCTCTATCACAGCACACCATGTAAATATCCATCACACCCCACCATGTAAATATCTAAATCACAATTAACACACCATCTTAAATATCTCTACCAAAGAACACCATGTAAATATTTCTATTACAACACACCATGTAAAATATCTCTATCACAACACACCATGTAAAGTATCTCTATCACAGACCACCATATAAAATATCTCTATCACAGAACACCATATGTAAATGTCCATCACAGCATGCCATGTTAATATCCATCACAGCACACCATGTAAATATCTATCTATCACAGCACACCATGTTAATATCTATCACAGCACACCATGTAAATATCCATCACAGTCTATCACAAACCCCAATGTTAATATCTCTATCACAACACACCATGTAAATATCTCTACCACAGAACACCATGTAAATATTTCTATTACAACACACCATGTAAAATATCTCTATCACAGAACACTATGTAAATATTTCTATCACAACACACCATTTAAAATATCTCTATCACAACACACCATGTAAAGTATCTCTATCACAGACCACCATATAAAATATCTCTATCACAGAACACCATGTAAAATATCCATCACAGCACACCATGTAAATATCTATCTATCACAGCACACCATGTTAATATCTATCACAGCACACCATGTAAATATCCAACACAGCACACCATGTAAATATCCATCACACCACACCATGTAAATATCTATCACAGCACACCATGTTAATATCTATCACAGCACACCATGTAAATATCGATCACAGCACACCATGTAAATATCTATCACAACACACTATGTAAATATCCATCACAGCACACCATGTAAAGTATCTCTATCACAGAACACCATATAAAATATCTCTATCTATCACAGCACACCATGTAAAAATAATTTATACAAACCTACATGTAAATATCCATCACAGCACACCATGTAAATGTACATCACAGCATACCATGTTAATATCCATCACAGCACACCATGTAAATATCCATCACAGCACACCATGTAAAGTATCTCTATCACAGCACACCATGTAAATATCCATCACACCACACCATGTAAATATCCATCACACCACACCATGTAAATATCTATCACAGCACACCATGTATCCATCACAGCACACCATGTAAATGTCCATCACAGCATGCCATGTTAATATCCATCACAGCACACCATGTAAATATCTATCACACCACACCATGTAAATATCCATCACACCACACCATGTAAATATCCATCACAGCACACCATGTAAATGTACATCACAGCATACCATGTTAATATCCATCACAGCACACCATGTAAATATCCATCGCACCACACCATGTAAATATCTATCACAGCACACCATGTTAATATCTATCACAGCACACCATGTAAATATCCATCACACCACACCATATAAATATCTCTATCAGAGCATGCCATGTTAATATCCATCACACCACACCATGTAAATATCCATCACAGCACACCATGTAAAGTATCTCTATCACAGAACACCATATAAAATATCTCTATCTATCACAGCACACCATGTAAAAATAATTTATACAAACCTACATGTAAATATCCATCACAGCACACCATGTAAATATCCATCACACCACACCATGTAAATATCTCTATCACAATTAACACACCATCTTAAATATCTCTACCACAGAACACCATGTAAATATTTCTATTACAACACACCATGTAAAATATCTCTATCACAACACACCATGTAAAGTATCTCTATCACAGAACACCATGGAAAATATCCATCACAGCTCACCATATAAATATCTACCACAGCACACCATGTAGATATCCATCACAGCACACCAGGTAAATATCTATCACAACACACCATGTAAATACCTATCACAGCACACCATGTAGATATCCATCACAGCACACCAGGTAAATATCTATCACAACACACCATGTAAATACCTATCACAGCACACCATATAAATATCTACCACAGCACACCATGTAGATATCCATCACAGCACACCATGTAGATATCCATCACAGCACACCAGGTAAATATCTATCACACCACACCATGTAAATATCTATCACAGCACACCATGTAAAAATCTATCACAGCACACCATGCAAATATCGATCACAGCTTACCATATAAATATCTATCACAGCACACCATGTAAAAATCTTTCACAGCACACCATGTAAATATCTTTCACAGCACACCATATAAATATCCATCACACCACACCATGTAAATATCCATCACACCACACCATATAAATATCTCTATCAGAGCATGCCATGTTAATATCCATAAGAGCACACCATGTAAATATCTATCACAGCACACCATGTAAATATCACTATCAGAGCATGCCATGTTAATATCCATAAGAGCACCCCATGTAAATATCTATCACAGCACACCATATAAATATCTATCACAGCACACCATGTAAATTTCCATCACAGCACACCATGTAAAAATCTATCACAGCACACCATGTAAATATCTCTATCAGAGCATGCCATGTTAATATCCATCACACCACACCATGTAAATATCTATCACAGCACACCATGTAAATATCTATCACAGCACACCATGTAAATATCTATCACAGCACACCATGTAAATATCTATCACTGCTTACCATATACATATCTGTCACAGCACACCATGTAAAAATCTATCACAGCACACCATGTAAATATATATCACACCACACCATGTAAATATATATCACAGCACACCATGTAAATATCTATCACAGCTTACCATATAAATATCTATCACAGAACACCATGTAAATATCCATCACAGCACACCATGTAAATATCTATCACAACACACCATGTAAATATCTCTACCACAGAACACCATGTAAATATTTCTATCACAAAACACCATGTAAAATATCTCTATCACAACACACCATGTAAAGTATCTCTATCACAGAACACCATATAAAATATCTCTATCACAGAACACCATGTAAAATATCCATCACAGCACACCATGTAAATATCTATCACAGCACACCATGTAAATATCTATCACAGCACACCATGTAAATATCTATCACAGCACACCATGTAAATATCTATCACAGCACACCATGTAAATATCTATCACAGCACACCATGTAAATATCTATCACAGCACACCATGTAAATATCTATCACAGCACACCATGTAAATATCTATCACAGCACACCATGTAAATATGTATCACAGCACACCATGTAAATATCCATCACAGTACACCATGTAAATATCTATCACAGCATACCATGTAAATATCTATCACAGCACACCATGTAAATATGTATCACAGCACACCTTATATGGCTTTGTTGCATGTTTTATGACTAATACTACTTGATGTCTACATGTGCTCCTATGTTCTGGTAAAACCATGTATGTAAATGCTGTCTCTGATCTCTTGGTTATTCTTAAAGGAACAATATGAGTGTCTTTTTCCATCTGTCAAGTTGAGTTCAGGACAAACAGTCTCGGGAAATCTTATTTGTCCGACATAGTACTTGTATTTATGTACATATAAACCTACATTACAGACGGTAGACTTTCTGTTTTATACAGTTGTATGTCTCATTATAGTACCGTTTCATTGGTAAGCTGCTGTGTGGTCATTTCACCAGACATGTTTATGGAGTCGACATTACCACCGGGACTTGCAGCTTTAGACAGCCGTCCTGGTCATAGAAAAAATGTAGATACTTGTACCTTAATGCAACATATTGTACTAGGAGCTAGCTAGCCTGGTTCTTGTTCCTTTATTAAATAATACTCTATACAACATACCTTGTTATGTAGAGAAGTAGCTAGCCATACTTTTCATAGTCCCTGTTACCCTGTTCAACCATTCATTCAAACATACATGAAATGTATATACTGTAAACGGACATATTTTAGTGGTGTTCTCATTTTACCAATTTTCACACTTTAAATATATATAATACAATAAACCTTGTTATGTACAGAACTAGCTAGCCATACTTTTCATAGTCCCTGTTACCCTGTTCAACCATACATTCAAACATACATGAAATTTATATACTGTAAACGGACATATTTAGTGGTGTTCTCATTTTACCAATTTTCACACTTTAAATATATGTGCTAGTTGCTAGCCTTTCTTGTTTCGTACAGAACTAGCTAGCCATCATACTTTTTATAGTTCCTTAGGTCCCTTGTTATCTATACTCAGTAAACAGACACATTTTAGTGGTGTTCTAGTTTTACTGATTCCCACACTTCAAATATTGAGCTTTTATATACACGTAGCTTATGATAGCCAACCTTACTATGTACAGAACTAGCTAGCCATCCTTTTTCATAGTTTCTTGTCCCCTATTTAACCATACATTCCAACATATACATAAAATGTATACTGTAAATAGACATATTTTAGTGGTGTTCTAAATTTGCCCATTTTCACACTTTAAATATTGTGCAAAATTGTGATTTTGTTAATTGAAGATTCCGTCTATTGCTTCTATGGCACACAAATTGTGAAGTGCCAGATGGCATGAAAATGATAACCATTTTTTGCGAGTGCGTAATTGATCTTATAGAATACTAGAGACCATCCCTTTACATCAAAACAATGTAAATATCATCGTTCATATCAGAAAAAAATAGTTGCACTTCTATAAATACAGAGTTAGCTATATAGCCTATTTCTTTTAATCAATCGACTTCAAATACATTCAGACATGCATGTTCATTACTTTGAAAAAGTTAACGTGAAAAAAACATGCTGGCATTTTGATGAAAAGAAATTATATGTGGCTGCTAATGGTAATGAAAAGTGATTTTACTCCCTTTCATCGAATCACAACACTCAGATACAAAAGGAATTCCAAATTCTTATCACGGAGCAGAAATAATTCCCTGATTATGAGTAGATTTTAAGGGGGTCCCTATGTGTTATAACCGGCCATTACGGGAGGTTGTTAATAAGGTCTTTTAGAGATCGGGCTTCAGTAGGTGTGCCTAGTATACAGGCCTTCATTACAGTTTACCTGTAGGCGTAATTAATTACGCATTGTGTTGATAAAAAAATAGTTATTACAATATCTTGTTAATTCAATCAAACATTATCTATAAGTTAGAAGGAGGTTCAGACACCTGAAGCGTTTGATACAGGCCTTTCATGGCTATTTATACAGACAATCCTGAAAACATATAAAATGGTGAGGATGCATTTTCTTTTCATGCCACAAATATGACTTAAAGGTGCCAAATGCTTTCTTCTTCTTCTTGTCATCTCTCTTGTTTGTCTGTCTGTCTCTCACGATCAAAGCAGGTTATACATGTACTTTGGTATCTATAAATACTATCAATGGCACAAAGTATGTGTATGTTTTAAAAGTCATATATGTAATAAAAAGGTTAGAAATCATTATTATTATACCTAAGCTTTATAACAGCTGTCTGATTGGATGGAACTGGTCACATGACGGGGCAATAAAACATGAAATAACGCCCTCATGCACTCAAGTTTCCCCGAAAGTCTGACCAGTTCCTTCTTGTCTATACCAGTAATATACCATCAACAACACTCTCAGTTTAACATACCAGTGATAACACAGTCAAAAGTGTGGTATTTTTTACTGCTTTTTATGTATACTTTAAGTTACTTACATTTCAAGTCCAGTTAATTTTGCAACATAACGTTTCTGTGCCTTATGTGAAGCCAATAGTTATTATTATTATACCTCATCTTCATTAAAATGTATCCGATTGGATGATACTCTTGTCACATGACCAGGAAATAAAACATCATGTTGCCCTCATCACAGGCTCAAGTTTCCCCGATCATATCTCTCCTATTTGGAGCTTCTCTAGAAAAATCGGTAAGAGTCACTAAACCTTAAGTTCCAAATGACAGAAGCAGACGACAACAATGGGGCGTCAACCTGATCATCTCTACTATCGTGTTATTGTTTTTCATTGAATTTTTGTTTAGCATAATCTCTCGTGAAACATGATTATCCTCAGAGAAACAAAGAATCATGTTTCCCTACAGTAAGGGCAATAAATCTATAATAATCATATCGTGAAAGTCTCATGAATTCTTATTACACATCATTCATCTCATTGTGATGGATGAAATAGAAGACAGTTTTACTTTGTCAGCCTCTATTTATTAAAGAAAACTGTTTCTCTTGAACAGCCGCCATTTATTATGGAAAAGTGGCAGACTGGTGTTGGTCCAGATGTAGAAGTGGAATGTCTTGTCCAGTTTGAGGTAAGTTACAACGAACAACTCACCGTCAACACTTAATGATAAAGTCTGAAATAACAGTATCATTAAACAAAATCAACACTGTTGGCGCAAATTATTTTCCTTTTTTATTTAAATTTGATATTATTAATAAACTGAAGGAATGTACCTGGACTTTCATTTTATAACACTGAACGAAGGTATTGTGTCACCTGCCTGACCTATGGGTTTTCACAGGGTACTCCACTTTCCTCCCATATTACCACTCCTTGAGCATATATGTTACAATTAAAGTTGAAAAATCTTGGTCCATATTTTTTGTAAAATGAATAAATATTGTGTTTGATACTTATAGAAAACTACATAAAAACAAGCACAGAAATAGATATCAGCAAATCTGCAAATAAGTGTTATCAGTCTCGGTGACTATTACTTATCATAAATTGGTTATTGGGAAATTTTCGCCCAGTCAAACGTTTGCGCTTCGCCACAAAAAATCCATATTTGCCAAGTGTTAATTTTGCCCTTACATTTAATCACTGTGTATATTATGTTGTTTACCAATGTCTGGTGTGATGATAACTTTGCCCTCATTATGGCTGGCAAAATTAACCTTCAGCGAAATATTTCCGGTGAACAGTATTAACTTGTGCAAGTCTACAGGCTCTTGACCATAGGTGATCATGATCAACACAGCCTGGACCTGCTCAAGATTTGCGGGGATCTTTTTTCCGTTTTGGTAACTTTCCTTGTAACTTTTTCTTATTTAGCCCACAGTGAAGAAACCAAAATCAATCAAGTACCACCATAAACTTGATGCGAGTGCCACAACTTCCGGTCAGAAGGTCGTGACCTTGACCTTACTGAGGACAGAGTCTCCTGACGAGTCCGTGGACACACTGCCCCAGAGCCCTACTCGGCCCTCTCAGTCCTTGTCCCCTTCTACCCATCACAGCCAGAGTTCACCTCAACTCAAGGGTATCTGGAACAAACGCCAATCTCTGTCGACGGTCTCTTTACCAGAGAGTGTTAAAAGTAAGTAGAACTGAATTAAACTCTTGGGAGTATTTAAAATGAGTTTGTGGACATAATTCTGAACAGTATCAAAAGTAAGGACATGTTTCGTATTATACCAGAGAATTTGTTGGGTGGTCTATAGTGGCACAGTGGGTAAAACAGTCACCTTTCACAAGACAGCCAGGTGTTCGTCAAACGGGTCAGAGGGGTCATCAGGCTGACCATGTAGGTTTTCTCCAGGTACTTTTGTTTCCTTCTCATTTAAAACCTCCTACAAACTTCAGTCAAGCAAAGTAAGCAATTAATATTTGAAAAAAAAAACTTGTTTAATTAGCTCACCTGGCCCGAAGGGCCAAGTGAGCTTATGCCGTGGTGCGGCATCCGGCGTTGTCCGTCGTCAGTATTTTACTTTAAACAACTTCTTCTTAATAACTAAAAGGCCTAGGGTGATGATATTTGGCCAGAAGAAAATTAGGATGAAGGGCTACCAATTATGTTCAAATAAATGACCTTTACTAATTCTCAAGGTCACAGGGGTCAAATATGTAAAAACCTTTAAACAACTTCTTCTGAATAACCAAAAAGACCAGTATAATGATATTTGGTCAGTAGCATGCTTGGATGAAGGGCTACCAAGTTTGTTCAAATAAATGATGTTGACTTATATTTAAGGTCACAGGGGTCAAGTTCACAGGGATCAAATATGTTAAAGCTTAAAAGAACTTCTTCTGAATAACCAAGATACCCAAGGGGTTGATATTTTGCCAGTAGCATGCTAGGATAAAAGGCTTCCAAGTTTGTTCAAATAAATGACCTTGACCTATATTCATTTTTTTTTTTTTTTAAGTCCCCACAGGTCAACCATTTGAAAGATCTATTGAAGATCTTAAATTTTGATGGATTTGGGGGCCAAAAAAGGCCCACACTATATATAGTCATTTTACATACAAAAAAGCAGTTCCTCATGTCCCATGTCAATAATCCAGAGCATTCAATCAGAGCTTCATTATAAATTTTAAATCCTAGAGATAGTTTGATACAGACATAAAATCCATTCCTATCAAAAGAAAGAAAAAATATGCAGGTGACAGTGTAGATGAAATTTAAAATAAACAAGTCTTTGTGAGGTTCTGTTGTTTGAGATGTTGCTGTCAAAACAGGGCAATATTCACTGTCTACTTTTTACTGATAAACATTTATCAATTTCCGTTTCACTCCGTAGAACAATGGCAAACAATTTACATAACGTAATTAGTTACCTTTCCCCGTAATCGCTAGAAGTTGCTTGTTTTAGAAGATATTTGAATGAAATGTGTCAAAATTGTATTATTTCTAATTTTTACGACTTTATGTCAAGTTTTCAGAAAAAAAACAACCAAATATTTTATAATTATGCATATTTCAGAAACCCTTGTTAAAATTCTAGTGCCAATTTTTTAAGATTGTTATATATATGGGAATTTGTACCATGTAGTTTGGCAAAGAACATTTTATCTAATTTTTATTACTTTTTGTCATGTCGACAATTTATCAAAACTGACAGGATTAATCCCTTATTTGTTGGTGAGAGCATTTATATTATGGGGTCAAAAATATGAAATGAAGAAAAACAAAAACTGATACTGAACAGAATGCAGATAACCAGTTCTGACAGTTGTGTTTTTATTAACTACTTGATTTCTTCCAAGAGGACCTCCTTGGGTCTTTGATGGTATACTTGAAATAAAATAGAGTGTATGTATATATTAGTGATTGAATCTAAATATCCAGCTCACTCTGACTGTGTAAGTACTCCAAAGTAAACTATTCTGTCTGATGTATAGAGACCGGAGTAACTGCAATATTAGGTGTGGGGTTCTAGGGCCTCACAAGTTTGTTCACACTATTGTACTAGGGGATGGAGAGGGGTTCAAAGGGAGATAATTATACAACATGGCACATAATCTCCTTCAATTTTGTTAATACATATCAGATTGTATAAAACTTGTAGTCCTTGTTAAATTATAAAAGTGGAAATTGTCGTGTGGAAATGTTCTGTTTTATTTTTTTGTTGAGAAAAGTAGGGCTTAACCCTTTCAACCCCAGGTAACTTTAGTAGACTCTACCATACATTTATTTGGATGAGTCCATTATGGTCTACAGTGGTGAAAGGGTTGAATATCAACATGTGGATATCTATTTATACTATATAAATTAAAGAGAAATACGATATGTAGTTTTCAGAACTATTGCCAATGCAAAAATATCCTCACCCTGATAAGTTTAACCCTTTCACCCCTATGTAACTCTGGTAGACTCCACAATGCATTGATCTTGATGAGTCCATTATGGTCTACAGTGGTGAAAGGGTTAAAGAGTCACAACACAAACATTTCCACTTGGGAAATTTTCACTTTTACACTCAACGTTTACGTAATAAAGTCGGTCTTGATGTCTATAGACTGCTTGAAGTTTATATTCTGGTTTCATTGGGTTAATGTATCAAGGGCGTTGAGCTGTAATTATGTATGAAATGTCTTAGCTAAGATCAGGATGAAATTATACATTATTTGTCATAGAAGTATAGTAAGGGTTGTGTAAGTAATGGGGCTAATACACAGATGAGGCATTGTATTACTGTATACGGAAAAATGTTCGCCGCAGCTTATCTTTCGCCTCTTTTACTCTCTGCAATGAGGGAGAATTTATCATGTATATATTTTAACACAACATACCATACATAGTAATAATTGTGAAAGGCGAAATATACACTGGGAGAACATGGCCATACAGTTGAAGGGTGAATATTGGACTGGGCGAAAGGTATACACTAATATGTTAGTAGCATCAATGTATGATTGTGCCCTCTGTCTGTTAATGAAAAATACACCAGGTTTTACACTTTATTTTGACAGGTACAAATACAGGTATCTGGGCGGGTGTGGTGTCAGGACGGAAACCATCGGCTCCTGCTATCTTTTCCAGTGTTCAGGCCAAGCCTATCCCAGGAACCCCCCTTGTGCTTTACCCCTTCCACCCTTCCCAAACCCCACCCAGCTCCCCATCTTTGTCAGCCACCAGCTCCCCATACTCACAGGGAGCATCGCCTTGGTCGACACCATCGCCATCCCAACAAGTGTCACGACAACAGTCACCATGGCTCCATACCAACCAGCTATCGCCTGTAACAGTACTTAACACCTCCTCCCAGGAATCTTCTCTGTCATCGCACAACTTAACCAGTTCAGATAGTTCAAGCTCAGGAGGCAAAGGAACAAAACACAAAAAGTCTAAAATACCTCCTCACACTGACACTGTGCACGAGCCCAAAGTGAAGTTTGTGATATCTGAACCTGTGAGAGGCGAATCGGAGGTTCAGGACGCTCATAGTAATTCATATGCGGAAGTGTGTAGTAAGTGTATGTGTCACAGACAGCCATCAATAGATCAATCAAAACAGTCTCCAAATACTCACAAGGTTGGAGACAAGGGATGTACCAACACAAGCCATGAACGTAGTGAGCATAGCAACCGTTTACATGACAACAGGGGTGGTAACCATATAAACAGGGGTCATAGGGGCCGAAATAGAGGTAATGATAGGTATGATAGGTTTAGGGATAGAGAAAGAGACTACTATGGCAACCAACCTCAGCGTGATGGATATGATATAAGAAGGGATGAAAATAACAGAGGTAAACGGCAGGGTTGGCATGAACATCAAGGTCAAGGTCAACGTTCAACACACAGAGGTAGAGACTTTCAGAGGGACTATTTATCTTCTGCAAATTATCAAAGGAGTGTTAGTGACCCCAAACCTCGCTCAGGGAGCTTCCTGTCAGATGGAGACCAGTCTGATGGGGGCAAGGCTAGCAGCTACAGTGCCCCCTACAGGGAACCTCGTGGAAAAGGTCAATATAGAGGTCGCAGAGAGGGGAATATGTCCCCTGGGTCACCATCTTCACCAGCAACTGACAGGCCAAGGTCAGGTTGTGCTGACTCTGAGTCTCATCCTTCCAATGGAGCAGAAAGGTCCATTGAGGGGTCACTGGAATCGTCATATGAGACAAGAGGTGGCTGGACTGAAGTGGACCATCGACATCACTCACACCGCCATTCTGACCATTACCATGATTCAGGTCACTTTCGAGGGCGTGGTTACCATGGAAACGATTACCAGAGTGATGACGAACATAATCGTCATCGTGGGTACAGTCGAGGACGTGGGTACCATAGTGATGATAACCGTAGACGTCATTACAGTGATGGTGGGGGTCGGGGTCGGGGTCGCAAGGGACGGGGTAGCCAAGATGCCGAACAGTACTGGTCAGATAGAAATACAGATAGATCTAATCCTCAAAGGAAAGTATGAAATTCATACACTGAAAATTATCCGAGGGAGACTCAGTGGCGACAGTCATATAGATAGTGATCAGGGTATATAGGGGAGATAACAAAGGCCATACCGTCACCACTCCAATTAGTGGGGACGGGTATTGCTGGCTTGACAGGTGAGATAGGACAGATATGGTGTACTGGACAGGTGATATGGCCGTACAACTGACAGGTCACGCTTGGCTCACCCAGAAAATTAAACGTCTTTAAAACCAGCGACAGTCCAACAAATGCTTCCACCATTCCATTAGTGTGTGCCTTGTCTACTTATCAAAATTTTATCAGATTTTCCATCTGTCGAAAGGAATCATCGAAATAGTTTCAAAACTGTGTTCCAGGGTATGTTTATGTTGATATTATACTGTTATCAAATACTGCCTTTGTGAAGATTTTTGAGTGTGAAAAATGGGTTTGCATTTACTGGTATTGTTGGTATATTTTTCCGTATATGTGCTGATATGTTTAATTTCTTCATGATTTAATATAGACAGTCATTGTTACAAATTTTATAAATCTGTTCTTGGTTTTTTACCTTACTTATTTTTCTTCAGGCCTTTTCAAAATTAGAATGATTATGAAAATCAATAATTACAGCAAAATATTTCATCCTAGTCATTCATGATATTTTCAGATTTAAGCTCATGCCAAGTCATTTTTTACTTTAATACTTGTTATTTATGATATTTCAAGGTTTTAGAGCTTTAAGCTAAAACTAAGTTATTTTTAACTCGATGAAAATAACTTTTTAGCTAAAAGCTCTAAAACCTTAAAATATTATAAACATTTTTTTTATATGATAGAAAGTTGAAATAATATTTATTAATGTAGTCAGATGTTGATTATTACGTAATCGGTCATTGATTATTGCAGTCATTATATTGATAAAAGTTTATATAAATAAGAGTCTTCTTGCAATAAAAGATGATCAGAATTAAATTGTTTTATATACTGTATTCAAAACAATGACATTTTCACATGAACTTTTTACTAGGGTATTACTTGTCCAGTATGACCATGTGACCAGATGCAGGTCAGATAGACGTTATAGATAGTACAAACACAAGATTTCTGACACTTTCACATCCAAAGTGACGGTTACCAGTCTGAGGTGATGTTATCAGGTTATCACGGTCCCACATCTCGAGCTCTGATTGGCCGACGAGTGTCACAGATTAGGACATTTAACTCATTTACCCCTGAAATTTCATAATGAACTATTCCAACCTTTGAATTGGAAGGGTTCAAATGTGGTTTTAGGGGTTAATGAGTTAAACTCTGTACTGGGACAGACATGTCGGAGGTTTTATCTCCGGTCTTGGACTCTTGGAATTCTGTATTTTGAAGACTGCTATTGAGTAGGACACAATAGCGTTTCCTCCCCCACCCATGTGTACCAGGTACACACTTATTAGTCATGGACAATACTGGCACACAAATGCAAAACCCCAATAATGTTTCCGTGCCTTTTTAGTATGTAAGTAAGTTAAGCGTTGATAATGAACATTTAAATATCTGTTTCAGTTGTATTTATTTTCTTAAGAAACATGGAATTTTTTACAGTATTAATTCAAAAAAAACAAATTGTGTATATATAGAATTGATTTTTGTAAGTAATAGTAAATAATTGTGCAATTCCACTCCACTCTCCACGTCTGACAGCAGCCGTAGGTCGTAAAATGTGTTATTGAATAGATATTAAGAGTGCATTTTTCTGAGGTTAAACCCTTTGTTCAGCTCTTGCAATTTTATCTTGTAAGATAACTCAAATTACAGGATTGTCCGCAATCAAGAATACACATAGATTTCGAGAAACAAACATATCCCACTAAAATGTCTCCAAAACCAGCAATAAAGTGCTTCTATGATTAATCATAATGTCAATAGCGTTGATTGATGTGTGTTTTTTTAAATGAGAGGGGGAACATTTTCGTTTTTAAATTTGTTCATTCACTTGAAGCATGACGTGTGGTATATTTTTGATAAGATAATAAAAACTTAACCATTAAATCTGCATTTAGTTTCTTGCGAAGGCTAGCTTAATTAAAATTGATCTGTTACTCTGGAAATATGAATTAGGGTATTTAAGTATGTCAGTACATGTATATATAATGGTATGCTGTTTGCAAAATACTTCAGTTTCCTTTTTTATAAATATATATTCACAGTGTTTCATAAAAGGGTTTGTTAGATTTTTGTTTTAAATTTTATTCCTGTTAAAACACTTGATCATGTTTGTATTCAACATTTGCATGATTTATCTTTTTTTTTTATATATATATAAACAAGGTGTTAAGATAATCCAAATAATGTTCATAATTATAAATTCTGTATTGTAAAAATATTTCAGTGATTTAGCAGATCTTTTTAATTTAATTCAACAGAACAAAATTTTATTGGAAAGTGGAAAGTATTTTGTCACCATACACTCAGATTATAAATTTTACCCTAAATAAATCATATTTGTAATCAAAATTACCAAATAATATCTGTGTATGCCTACATCCTGTCTAATCTGACCAATTATGTTGTGTCTGTCTATGTGTCGGATTATACAGAATTTTAAGAGACTACCTCTCTAGGTAAGATCATGAGAAGGATGATAAACTATACCAGGTTCTTCACAGAACAGAAATATTAATGCAATAATTATGTGTGATTTTATCATTGTGATATTATTTATGTATATATTTTTTGAATATCGCTGACTTATTCTCCCTGGCTTACATGTAAAATGAATTTGTCTGTGGAGAAGTCTTGAGTGGAACGTTCCAAAATGTGATAAATTATTCTGTATTTATTTATTACTCCAAATTCATGTATTTGGAATCTTGGATATTTTAATTATATAATTCAATTTTGTGTATATAAAGTTTGTGTAAGGGAAATACAATTAAATTGTATTTTTCACATCAAATGGTAATTATATGAAATAAATATAAAAGTGTTGATTATTTGTAGTTTAGTAAACTGTATGCTAGAGTGTTTGTAGGAATGTTGGATGTTGAATTTATTGAACTGCTGAAAGAACATTATCTCCCTTTATATTTGAATTCCTCTTGTTACAGGTATGTGTTTTATTTCAGTACAATTATACATCAACAAATTTGATTAGAAATATGTTATTTTAACTGATTTGAAAAATCATGTTACAAGTAAAGATAGTAACTTTTAATTAACAAATGAAGTTCTTTGCAGATTAATGTGAAAAAAATTCTCATTTTGGTACATGAAAAAAATAAAATAAAGTCAAGTAATCAAATCTTATTAGACCATTGTAATGATTTTAAATATGCAAAAATCTTATGTATATCTGGTACTGTGTTGATTGTGTAAGGTATTGAGAAATAACTTCAGTCAGGGTAAAGTGTTCCGTGACGTCTTTCTACAGTATACAAGTCTTAAACATTTCTTTTCCTGATAAATTTATGCTATTTTTACTCAATATTTCTACAGGGAAAAATGATAGGTTGTGGGCCATTTTTGAATGTTCGAAAATTATGAAATAATTTCTTATAATGTTCTGGAAAAAATTATGAAATATTTTCGAATGATGTTCTGGAAAAAGTAATATCACAAATATCATGACCCATAGAAAAGTTGATAAGCTCAGGAATTCCATCTTTGTGTATTGCAGAGTTATCTTCTCTTGTGAGCAGGGATTGATTGTTATGTCATTGGATTGTGTGAGAAAATTACGTTGTTTTCTCAAAAATTGATGACGTTACTCTCACAAACAAATGACCTAACAATCAATACCGGCTCACAAAAGCAGATAACTCTGCAATACGAAAAGATGGGATAGAATCAACATTGCAGAGATGCTTTTGTGAAAAAGGAAATGGCAATAAATATATTTCTTTCCTATACATGTATATAAATCTTTACTGTCATAAAATAGTAAAATGACAAGCAGTGACAAGTTAGAGAAATGCTTAACAACTTGGAACTCTTGTTTGTTGGAGACACAAGTCAGAGTGCTGAGACTTTCTACCTTAAACCAGTGGATTTTATTTACATATTGTATGTGCGATGTACATCAGATATCTTACCCTTGCTACCTAAATGAACATGACAGTGGTCCTGTTGATGAGACTGGGTTTGAAAAAATGAATTTTATTTATTTCCATTTAATGGAGCGTATGAGTTAGAGATGTATATTAAATGTGACCAAAACAAAATTCAAAATGAAAGTGCTGTCCTGTAGTACCTGGTCTGTAGTGTAGGAGTCATAGATATGTATTGGAATGTGGTCAGTCATAGAAAAACCTCCACCGTCCCAAGGTCCAGGGCCCACTTGTATAAAACATCTCAAAGTTAAGGAAAATATCAAGGAATGTATTGTCTATGGGAAATCTCAAGAGTTGAGATGTTTTATACAAGTGGGCCCTGTCACTTAATTATTTTTCTTGGTGTAACTACCTGAAGACTGATCAAAGCCTGAAATCATATAAGATAAAATTTCAGTCGCTGAGTCATTCAAATATTCATTCATTCATTCAAACACATGTTATTGATAATATCAAAGGGATTATGAAAACTTCACACAACTCTCCTCTCTCCTCTTATTGATAAAATGAATATTTGTTAATTTTGCTGGGATATCAGTCTAAGTGTTGTGAAGTATTTTTTACACAAAATGCTTGTTAACGTGCATAGGGAAATATTACATACGTATGTATAAGTACTTACCTATAACTTAAGAGGCTGCAGCCTTATTTCAATCGGATATGATTTTCCCGACTGTGCGCCTCAAAAGTATCTCGCTGTGTAAACCTCTAACACTGTTGGAGCACATTTGTAGTATATGTAGTGAAGTACTGTACAGTACTTTCCACTTAATATCACATCGTTTAATATCATGTTTCTTAATGACACATGATAAGTGATATTAAGCAAAAAATCTACTGATTTAGATATTACATAAGTATCTACGGTGTGCTAGATTGTAAAGTCACGTTTTGTTTTATACACTGAAATTATGCAAACATTTTTGAATCAATAGTGTATTTCAACCACATGAATGATAGTTATTATGTTCTGTTTATAAGTTTATTACCTACCTGTGTCTTAGCCTGACAAATAGGTGAACTCTTCTCAAAAATCAAGTATTTAGTCACAATGATCCGTCTTTTATATGTATGTCACTGAATAAAATTGTCTAAGTCTATGACACGTGGTATGCCTAATGTGTGTCGAAATGGAACATTCTGTTTTTGAGCTGAACTTGCTACAAATGCATACACATTTCTGAATAAAAGAGAGAGGAAATCATCTGTGTTATGTTGTTTTGTTAAATTGTATGTATGATTTCACTTCTACACGTGATAGGCCTTGCTGTCGACATTTACAATTTGATGTAGGCCTTGCTGTAGACATTTACAATTTGATATAGGCCTTGCTGTCGACATTTACAATAAGATGTGGGCCTTGCTGTCGACATTTACAATTAGATGTAGGCCTTTCTGTCGACATTTACAATTTGATGTAGGCCTTGCTGTCAACATTTACAATAAGATGTAGGCCTTGCTGTCAACATTTACAATAAGATGTAGGCCTTGCTGTCAACATTTACAATAAGATGTAGGCCTTGCTGTCCACATTTACAATTTGATGTAGGCCTTGCTGTAGACATTTACAATTTGATATAGGCCTTGCTGTCGACATTTA